GAATCCGTGAATGCGTCAGGCAATTGATTTGCAACATTTTGTAAATGAATTATCTTTTGCACTTCTTGTTCGCATGCATTTGTTCTTGCATCAAGAAAAGATAATCCTGTTGCATTCCATGTAATCTCTTTCGTACATGGGTCCTTTTTCTCATTTTCTCCCCCTAAGGCTGGGAATACTGTCTCATCGAAATGACAGTCAGCAAACCGAGCTGTGAATAAATCACCAGTCATTGGCTCAAGATATTTTATAATTGAGGGAGAATCAAAGCCAACATAAATTCCCAGCCTTCTTTGAGGACCCATTTTTGTACGATGTGGTGGAGCAATTGGTACATATACGGCACATCCAAATATTTTTATGTGAGAAATATTTGGTTCTTTTCCAGTAACCAATTGCAATGGGGAAAAAATATAATTTGCAGTAGGCCTTAGCCGAATTAAATTTGCAGCATGCAATACAGCATGTCCCCAAACAGATGCAGGTAAACTGTAACACCCCAACCCGCATAACCCAAACCCGTGAGACAGCGGACCGGTGTGCCACTGGATTGGTATCCGAATATACAACATTTTCAAAATAGTTTTAAACAAACGTTCTATCTGTAACGCCCCAAAATATACCCTAAAATTTATTGAATTAAATATTCAATTAAACAAAATTTGTTTTGATTAAAATAAATTGTTGTTGGGCTTTGGGCTGAAATAAAATATATATTGATATCCAATAAACATAATTGGGATAAATCTCATAGAGATAAATCCAACATGTTGATTTAATGTGTGATCTTGATTGGGAACTTGAGTACAGACCCAAATTAAGAATAAATGAAGAAATTGTTTATAATGTGAACTTTGAAATGATTTATTGAAATAAATCATGGAAATAAATAATATGAATTAAATGTGAGAACCTTTTTTAACAAAGGTCAATTAAACCAATTTTGACTCTGTCAAAGTCAACCACCCAAAAATATGATGTCGGAAAAAGTATAACGAATACATATAAAAATTATATCGTTAGATAGAGTTTAACTGTCTGATCGCAACGGTGCAATCGGATTTCAATTCGGAGAAAGTTGGACCAAAAAGTATTCCCCGACTGGGACCAAATTAGTCCCAATCAGGGACTTGCGTCTGGGAATCCTAGCAATCGCCGCTCCCTCCACCGAGACGCCAGAACAGGGAAACGGACCTGTGTCTTCTTCCTCTCCACTCCACTATATAAACCTCTCTAAACTTCACCATTTTTCACCATTCTTCTTCCAAGAGATAGCTAAGATTATAAAGAAGTGGAGTAGTGCTGTCAAGAGAGCTTCCCGTCGCCGGAGATAGCTACAATTCTCGCCGGAAGTTTTGCCGGAAAATCTTCAAAACCTCCATTAAGCTTCGAGGTAAGCCCGTAGATATATCTAGTGACTAGAATGTTCGTATAGATCGTTTCTACGTTCATAAACGGTCGTTTGGTTGAGTTTTGTGTTTGACATGCTTGAAGAACCAAGAATCATAAACCATGAAATTGATGTTAAAAGTATGAATTAATGATTTCAAAATGATCTATGAACCTTGGAGAACATCTCTATATAGTTT